CTTTTTTTGAATTGGTTTATCCAAATATGCAATAAAATTTGAAGCATTCCATTTAGGAAATCGCAACTTTCAAATGTAGGTCAAAATTGGGACAGTCTGTATAATTGCCAATATTTTAGAAATGTGCCCGCAAATGGATGGGCCACCCTGTATATGGGGGTCACCATAGATCCATTTGGGTCGCAGTGACGTTAATGCTAGCAACCCAACCCCTTTCTTCTATAATCTGTAATATGTAGTTAAGAATGGCTCTAACTCACTAACAGTGTCATTGCAGTATGTTAAAGGAAAATCCAAAGAGGTAGTCTGTCAAGAAACCCATACACTACAGTTTGAATCCATCTCCTAACAAAACACCTACATGCTGTTTACGCATCACATCATGCGTAAACGGCAATTCGGAAATAAACCTAAACCAACCACATCCTCATTCTAACACATCAGACGAAACCCGGCGAGCGCAATACCAACTCTATTAAAATTAATGATACGATGGCAGCCAATAAAGGTTGCTTTAAACTCACGCACAAATCATATCCAACGTAAACAGAACACGCCATCTTGACAGATTGCCTACTGAAATATAAATTGATGTTCTGCCCTTATGTTCCACACGCGTTGCTCGTCTGAATCAGAAATGAGGAGACCGAAACACAAGACGATGTGGGTGAAGTTGGGATAGCAGATGTGTCACTGCGTTGATTTCCCCATTTGTGCACAGTCTGCGAAAATCAAAAGCTCGCCAATTTTGGCATAACAGACAAGTTTAAAACCGCTTAAAAATAAACTTGAAATACTCTTTGAGGTCTTGTAGAGCAGATTTAATTTGGACACTTGGCGACAGCAAAAATTATGGCTTTTAACGGAGGTTTCCAGCATTTTTTAGGGTTTTTAGACATTAGACCGCCTATATGTTAGCTTTAAGTCTATCAACCTTAGAGCAAAATTAATTGTAGCCTGTTGAGTTCAAAAAGTTCCAAAGGAATCGGAAACAAATTTGCGTTAGCGAAATAAAAAAACATTTTTTTTGTAATTTATAATAATAATAATCGCCTTTATTACTAGCTGAGCTTAGCATAGTGCTATTCAGCCACTTAGCCCAAAAAAATACATCGGGATATGGAAAGAAGCAAAACAGGATATTTCAATGTCATTAAAAGTAATAATATAGTTGCACAAATAGGTTGTGTATAAAATATAAATTATAACAGTTTTACAGTTTAGAAGATTAAACTTTATATTGAAAAATATTATGAAACGATAAAAAACAGCTAATTCAAGTATATACTTATAATATGTCCAAAATAAATATTTTGATGTCTTTTCTAAATTTTTCGTAATTTAGAAATTTGATGGCTCGTGGAAGTTCGTTTTAGAGAATAACTGTGTTGCATGTGAGGCGTTTACGAAAGAAGTCTGTCTTGAGAGAGGCATTGAGAATCACTGCAAGACTTTCTTGTGTGAATATAATAATAATAATAATAGAGTCTTTATTTATCCACAATTACATTGTAGTAGTATAGCCAAATGTCAGACTTACATGGTGAAGTTTAGCATGCTACTACTTTTACACTTAACCATATAGTCCCTAGCAGATGTTCAAAAGTATACACTATCCACAAACAGATTTGGTGCATTACATCGAAAGTAAAAACTAAAAAAAGAAAAAGACATACTTTCCAAACCCAAGTACACCAAAAATTATTAGCCTGAATTAAACACGGAATAGAAAAGAAATGAATGATTACCTAAATTATATGTTTGGAGGGTTAAGTAATATTGTTTTAACTTTTTGTCGAAAGACAGGTAATGAAAATTCTTTAAATACGTCATTATAAATAATAACAACATTGTAAGAAAAATTGCGTTTAAAAAGTGTGGACGTATGCTGGGGTATTATAATATTATTTTCTCTGAGAGTTCCACAGTGAACATCATTATTAAATGAAATTTTTCCCTCAAGTAAGAGGGTTTAGACGTGAGCAGCAATTTGTGAATAAAAACTGGATAGTGATACTTGACCAAGTCATTAGTTTTTAACCAGTTTAGAACAGGATATTTCGCTGATACATGATCAAATTTACGTAAGCCAAAGATGAAACGTATATAACTGTTTTGAATAACTTGAATAACGTATTTGGTGAAATTGTCTAAACACGTGTAGTATATGATATTACGATAATTTAGTATACATATGACCAATGCTTCACATAGTTTTTTACGCAACTTAAAATTTAGTAAATACCTGTTTGCTATAAGAGTACGTAGCCGTAAGTAGTTTTTGTGGGAAGAACTTTTAACATGTTCAATAAACCTTAATTCTGTATAAAAAAAACACCAAGAATCTTTGCAGAATCAGAAAATTGCAAGATTTGGTTATTTATCTGAACGTTCAAGAGCTGTGTTACATTGTATGTTTTTCTTTGTGCGCAAAATAATAACATTTTAGATCTTTGTGGATTAATAAGTAGATCTGGGTTAAAATAATGGAGCAATTGCGTATCGTCTGCAAATGACCGGACATGAGCATTATCACTACTTTTGCTTAAGTCGAACGTATATATGAGGAACAGCAGCGGCCCCAACACAGAGCCCTAAGGTACACCTGAGGGAGTTATAGTCAATGTGGACATTTCTGGATTGAGAAAAACACACTGAGTTCTTTGATGAAGGTAACTGTCGAAAAATGAAAGGGATACACTGTCAAGACCTACGCGAATCAATTTAGCAAGTAATAATTTATGACTGATGCTGTCAAAGGTTTTAGAATAGTCTATAGAGATGAACGCTAGTGCTATTTCCTTATCTAAGGCACTTAAAATACTGTCTTGTAGATTGAGTAGGGCAGATGTTGTACTATAATTTTTTCTAAATCCAGATTGAGTATCGGGAAGTATAAAGAACTTTTCTACGTAGGCGGTCAATTGAAAATTTATAATTTTTTTCTAAAATTTTGGATAAAATTGGTAATAAGTAGTAGTAATAACTCCTAGATATCATCAGTCTATCCTTTAAAGATGGAGGAATGGCTGTGAGTAGAAGCGTATGAGTATAACCAACTAAGTCGAATTCATATAGTTTTTTTACTCTCAGCCATTTCATGTCTCTAAGGCCCGTATCATCAGTCGTCCCTACAATTGTAGGGCGCGTTTATGGCCTCCTTAATTGTCATACTTCTTTCTCTCCTTCAAAAATTTCTAGATTACACTTGCCGTGTCACCGTCAGCGCTCTCCTATTGTGAAGATATGTTTTCTTTTTGATTTGTAGGAAATTTCCGGCTGATAAAACATGATATAACTCAAAAGCAAGCACAATTTGATGCAAATAGATATTTGTGACATAACCTCAAAATAGAGTTCTGACACGGAGAAGTAGAAAACTATGGATCAAGGAGGCCATAAAGGCGCACTACAATTGTAGGGACGACTGACGATACGGGCCTAAAGTATGAGTTGAGATGATCATGCTTTCGCAAGTTATTGATCAATGTGTAACAGGAATTTTGAAACTTTTTGAGACGCATGAGAGAAGTGGAGTCTAAAAATAGAACATAAACTACTTCACAATAAGTAATTTTAGACGTGATCAAAGATTCGCATAACACTTCTTTGGTTTGATAGTCAAGAAAAAAAATTATTTAAACAACCAAACTTGATCCGGGTTACCGAACGGCTACCTTCTGTTCCATGTGATGGGGCATTCAACATACGAGATTACGAAAATTAAAAACGAATTGGAATAATTTTCTCATGAACACAAATCTTTCGCTTTATGTAATATCTCAGCGAAAATTGTCAGTGGATATCGGGGAGGTCAGTATTGATCAGTTTGACATGAGTAATCGTAGATGACATAAAAAGAACATAATTTGAGGTTGGATCTTGTACTGACACCGCTTTGGGTGTAGTGCGACGTTGTCAGATTGTAATAATGCACGGATAGGCTTATAATGCAATGTACCTTTAGAAGAGAATTGAAGGAAACCTTGAGGAATTTGTTTGTCAACTACAATTATCTATTCGCAGCTGATCAATGAATAGCTTGCCAAGTGTTTAAGATTCCGAAAATTTTTGATATTCACAGACTGTACCTACAGGGTGGCTCAGAAACGTACGTCGTTGTTTCTTAGGCAGAGTATTAATTGAAAACAATACAGGAAATGTTACTGAGCATTGAAACTGCAGTCCCTTGTTTAGATTGAATGAGTTTCTGCAAGACTCGTTGACGATATAGTGCAGAGATTTAATACTTCTACAGGTTTCTGATTTGACGTAGCTGCAAATAATGAATAGATATTTGTGTATCAGGAGCTAAGGTTTATAATCGAAATTTATGTGAGTAAAAAATGCCTACCCTTTATGCGATGACACATATTTTTTGACAGGTTCCGTGTCTATTTTCGGATAAAATTCAAATCTCCTCAATTTCTCCAATAGCCAAAAAGCAAAAACGTATGGCCAGTGACACGTAACAGTCGTCTGGAAGTACTGTCTACGTGTTTACAAAGCGCAGGCGATATTGCACTAGAAAATGAAGCGGCACCCCATCTGAGGCTTAACGGACCTCGCGTATCATGAGATAATTTTGCCGAGTATCTGGGTGTCACTCTTAACAAGACGGTGCCTCAGCCATCGTTTTGGCAGACAATGACGAATAGAGGTCAAACATCGCAGATGCAGTTCTCTAATGCAGTCGGTCTTAAACAATAATATAAATCATAAGTTTTTCAGGTGTATGCATTTATACATGTCTACTGGAACCTATGCTGCTTCTAAGGTGGATTGAAACATTTTACTCATGACATGCATTTTTTTATGTTGTATTTAAGGAAAGGAATGGTTGAGCAGTTGCATATTTTTATAATCCTGTATGGATTCCTTTGCTCGTATATTTTGTTCAGCTTTCTTTGAAAAAACATCACATCTTTGACATCTAGTGCACTACACTACACTACATTAATGCGATATAAAAGCAATATTACAAGTAAGGAAAGATTCATATGAAGAAAGAAAAATTCATGAAGCAACATAAAAATTGGATCCACACAAAAGAACAGCAGACCTGGCACAAAGTGTATCGGTCTCAATCGAAAGGTCACTTTGAGGATAGGGAATATTTAACTGTTGATCCTAAAACCTATGCAAAGGAAACCAAGTTAACCTACTTGTCAGCACTTTTTGCAGTGAAGTGAAAGTGAAAGTGTCTGCGTGGCAACCCCAACCGACCGTTTGCTGTTTTTGTCCCTATCCACCCGTACTCGCAACATCCCTGACAGATTCTAGAGTAAATATTTTTTTAAAGGATTGTGTGTACTTCGACGGGATTATAGCGAAATTCCCGCTCCAAATTTCTCGGCCATTGTTGGTTGGAAGATTAAGGGTTTATGTGTATGTTATTTTGCGCAGAGGAAGTGTATACAATTTGATTCGGTTTTTCTAGCAGGGTATTTGTTGAAAGAGGTAGAAGATTTAATCCCCTTTCGGTAGTGGGGAAACAGATGCACGATGTCGCATAAGAGTTATAGAAAATATTGGGTCAGTTACGGGTTTTCAACCACAACTAGGTACTCGATCGAAGACAGTTATGTCTTAATTTTTATGCAATGCTTGCATATAAAGTATTTTGTATGTACGATATGTTGGGAAAGCTTGACGTTCTTGGGAAGCTTGCCAGCGACAGTTGAAATATGAAAAGCCGATATCATGCGATTATATTAAGTTAGATTATTGATAAAAATATGCATGATACTGTTCTAGACCTACAGTAAACGTATTAAGCTCTACAAAGGTATCAACAGCATGGGAACTCCGTCATATATTATAGCACGTATGTAGCATCATATTTGGGACACATGCATCCTTTCTTGTACGAAATGTACCCTCATTTTTATCATTTCCCACTTAAAGATGGTCCCGGGCTTCCTTCACATCGACGAGAGGTCATGATCTGTAATCTACTGTTATACTAATGAACTCTTCTCCACAGCTTCCTTCTCCATGCTGCCCCCGCGCATTGAGTTTGCTAGGCGGACCCGTCTAGCTTCCGTTTGCCATCCTAACTCTGCCATACACCCAGAACTGACCGGTACGATCGCTCCTTTGTGCATAGGTTATCAACACTTAAAAGACATCTACCTGAGGAAACACTTCTCTGTTGTGCAAACCTGAGACTCTTGTCCACTAACAAGATTTTTCAAGTTCCTTGCAGTCGCGGTGGCTCGCTTTTTAGGTTTCTGCCATGTGACTGACTCATTGCATAAACAAAGAGTAGGCAACGCTGCATAATTTCATACCCTGGAATATTTCCCCATCATGATGTGTATGGGGGTTGTGATGAAATTTCATTAGAGATGTTTAAATATATATTAAAATAATTGCTTACTCCTATTTTAATTGTGATTGACACACCCCAGAAATTAAACATGTGGCAAGTTCAGTACCCCCTCCTAATCATTTCTATCACTGGAACAGAAACAGAGCAGCATATTTAAATACATAATAGGATCTGGTCCTAGGGGAAATGATTCGTAAATTGTATTGCTACCTTTCTCTAAATTAGGTATGCTTGTTTTCGTTAAATCGGATTATAATTCATTATGTAATGATTCTCAAGTACTCGAATTCCATCAAAACTGTGAACCTATCTAAACTAAACATTTCAAAAACTAATTTGGATGAGTACATATCACTTCTGTATTAATGTTCTATTGGTGCTCAATTTTCATATGGTCAGTCTTTTTTAAATATGTTTATAGTTGTTCCCGTTTATAAGACAATATTTCAGAAGACATCATCAGGGTAGTCATTTACTTATCAATCGTGAATATTTGGAAAACGAGGCGATCGATGAGGTATCACGTCAATGCCTTTGAAGTCTGGTATGACGAGCTTTTTGAAAATCCTACGAAATAATATGTTTTACATAATAATCCATGTAATGGTTACAGATACATCTTTAAAAAAACGGTGATTCCATTCAAAATGTGTATCAATACAATGCCTGCACATAAAAAAATGCAAGCATTCCTGTGAATCGTAACCACTATTGACGGACAATTTCTGCTGGAAAGGAGGTGATAATAATGGTCAGCTTCGTTCACTAAGATATGAAAGGTACAAGGGAAAAAAGATGAATGTCACTAATTTGTTGTTTTGTTGTTCGAACCGGCAACATGTAGAATCTGCGACGAAAGAAATAAACATTAAGTAATAATTGTTAAGCAGCTACCATTAATTTTGTTTTTTATGATCTACATTCTTTTGAATAAAGCTTTTTTTGGTTCACTGTTTTCTTCCTGTGCCAATAAAAACAATATTTAGAAATAATTCTGTGTTTTAGCAATTGAACTTAGAAAATCACATTTTTCTCATATTCTAGGCATTGCTTAATAAGTTTCCTGTTAAGATAGTTCTCGTATGAGAACAGATCGTAAAACCTAAGCTACGCATTTTGCTGGTTAATTAACTCTTAAATCTTACAGGGTGTCGCATATATCACGAAAGGCTCATTTCTAACCTCAATATCTCCAGTAAGTTGAATTTGGGCTTGGACACTAACACAATAAATCTTTAAGATCGTAAGGAGAATCTAAAAAAAACATATTTGGCCTGCTTCACTGTTTATAAAAAAAATATTTATAATTGAACCTTTTTCCCATTTCTTCTAATGCGGAATCCATGGTACCCGGTCAGATCTATGACTTTTAAATTCACTTCTCTTGAAACTTAATTATCTTGACATTTTTTTTTCATGTGCCATTCATATACTTAAGACCTGTTGCAGTTTTACACAAATTGCTCCTCAAAGTAACGAATAATAAAGATTGCACATACCCCAACGATTTATTACATTTTGCGTCCAAGGTTTTGGATATTCATTATACCTACTCGCGCTCCTCCAATACCAGTAAACCCTATTACATAAAGATCTATAGGTCTCGCATCAGTAGAATACGAGACTGAGACCTAACAACGTTGTAATTAACCGGGCTCTCAAAACCATTTTCCAAAGGACATTTAACTATCTACCAAAAGTAAATAAAACAGTCTATTGTGCTAATTCCTCGGCACTTTGCACAGCTCATTGATTTGAAAAATATATAAGCGTGTCAGTTCCCTCAACTACAGACATATTCTGTATTCCTTTTCTAGTTTTTTTATTATGTACATCTGACACACCTTTTTCTTTATAAATGTTTTATTCATTTATATCATAAAATTGTTGTTTTAAATTGTATTAAACGTGTTGGTTATGCATAATAATCTCAATAGTGTACACGTTCAACTTACAAGCCTTTGGCTTCAGTGGATATTGCATTCCTATTTCTACCTCATTACATGAATGGTAATATCGCTTTATAACTGTACTTACACATAGACATTATTACTTACTCCTTCGATGCTATATGCCATGTATAAAACAAACAATCATGTCTCTCACATACAGCTCAAATTCTGATGACATGTTCACACAAAGCTACTACTATGCCAAGGATGAAAAATCTTTGTAGGTTTTGAAAAAGAAAGAAGAAACTTAAAAAAAATAATAGAAATCGCTCCAACCTCGTATTTTGACGTTTCGGAGGCACCACTATTGCTGTGGTCTGACTGCCGAGCTGCTACAGCCGCGACTGGTTAAGTGACTGCGACGAAGGGCAAGGTGTGTCATAGCCAATTGACAGATGGTCGTCGCACTATCGGCATTACTATGAAAGTAAGCAAGAAATAATCGATTGCTGTTGCTTGATTCTGCCCTTGACTTCACCTTATTTCCTTCACAGGAATTCTCAGAAAGTTCATTACTGCTACTCGGCACAGAGGCATCGCAATGCCACGTGGCAAACTCCGTGACTGGAAGATTGAACTCCAGAAATTCTTCTCTTCTTCTTATTTAAGCGAATTACACGAAGCTCTGCCTTTCCTGTAATTATTTATGAAAAACTTTCCGTGATTCCGATAACAGCCATATCGACCTTTCCCGGAAACGCAACGTGTTGTTCGATTCGTGAACTAACACAGGGACCTGCGAGTTTCTAAACGAAATACATGTCACGTAGCGTATTTTATCTCAAACTTTGCATGGAATTATTGAAAAGTGGAAAATTCATAGCGCATAACTCAAAGCGTGACAATCAAGATTAGAATATAGTTTCAGCGTTTGGGTTGTTGTTTCCGATTAGAGATAGTGATACTTTAATATTTATGTGTAATATTCTGCTGGTATATACAGTAGTTTGCGGCATCTGTTAGGTGCATGAAACGTTGCGCAATATTATAGATTGGGAATGATAAAGCATGGTATGCGATGTGACTTGTGTCGGGATTGTCTAGGTGTTCAATATTGCGAGAAGGTTGCAGAACATAACATTCATACTCGTACATATAGACGTTCACATATAGGGTTCTCTCACACTTGTGACAAGTCTGATGCTTGTAGAAATATATCAACATAATTAGCTTTAATCTGGTAAGGGATACAACATTTTTACAAAAACCTTACAAACAATTCTACCACTGTACCACGTACCGGAGATTATATTTCAGGGAGCATTACCGAGGGCGTCATTTTTTACTCAAATCCGCATGCTTTTCTCTGTGTTTTTGCCTGTGCCGTACATACAATCTGAGTAGGCGCAATATACAAATACTATTTAAATGATACAATGTGTACAGAAAAACTATGACCCTTCAAAAAACGTTTAGCTCCTCACTGTGTTATCATTGATGTTTCATATTTACTTCCCTTCAAGATATTGTTAAATGATGCCCATAAAATTTGCTTAAAAATGATGACCAAAAAGAAATCCAACTTTCTAGTACTTTATTTTCTTTTCTAAATGCTGCCGTCAAGAACATTGACTCTGCTTTTCTCACGCAACGCTGTTATCAGCTATTATGTTCAGCTCAAGTCTATCGAAATAAGACATCGCTATAAGGGTGGTCCCAGAAGTACCCGGCCTGACCTAGAGATGGCGATAGTTGTTTGAATAATATCATTGTATTAAAAAGTATGCAACCTATAAAGAATATGTGTCAAGTTTGAAGGCGCCACGTTGTTTAGTTCTGTTTGGCAGCCATCAATACTGAACGTTTTCAGTGAATGGGGAAAATCGGTCATCGTTATGTGGTACAATACTTTTATTCCAAAGGCCTCAGCCCAACCAATATAAAAGCTGAACTGGATTCTAC